CACACACACACTGTGGATTCAGCACCTGACACACACACACACCATCACTGTGCACTATGCTTAGAAAGGTCTACCGATTTCCTGACAGATCCATCTCCACCAGCTCGGACAAAGAAGGAGGAGGCATGGTGTCTCACAGTTCTACACATGAGGCTCTGGTGTGATGGAACAGTTTTACAGACCCCCCCCCCCTTCAAGGAGGTTCCTGAGACCTCGTCCAGGTTGTCACCCCATATCACCAGCCCTGCCCCCCACCCCACATGCCCCTCAACCCCCCCAAGGCCGGCTCACACTGGGCCACTGAGAACACAGGCCCAGGACAGCACGCCAGGAAAATGAACCTCAGGGTTTCAGCATTGAGAAGAGGAGATGCTTCTCATCCAGGGGTCATGGGAGTGTGGAACACCCCGCCCTCCTGCTGAAGATACCGTCCTTCCAGAAACAGCTGGATGAGATTCTGGACCCATCAGCTGCCAACGTCCCAGCCGGTCATCTGGAGTATGCGTTTATTTCCTGTCAGTTCTACTCTCCGTGTTCTTAATAATACCCCTCTTTCCATTAGTTAATCATTTTCGAAGAAATGTAATAATTTCTCCGGCCTTTAACGTCCTTTCAAGAGCGTTTGTTTGTTGCAGGAGCAGCTCGGGCCGGGGCCCCGCCCCCTCGGCTGTGATTGGCCGGAGCGGTCCTGGCCACGCCCCGCTGTCGGAGGAGGGGAGGACGGAAAAGTTTGGTCTCCAGAACTTCGCAGCCACACCGAATCTCTTGGACAAGTCGGAACTGGGGGGAAAAAAAACACCCGAGAGAGACAGAGGGGAGAGCGACTGTGTTTGACAACGCTCCTGGGAAAGACGAAGACAGCGATGTGAGACAGGAACGCGCGCTCGCTCTGACCCGTGTGGAGACAGACGGCTCCGGTACCGACACCACCTCTCTAGGGCACGAACTCCGGTAAGTCCAGGCTGTGGTCCAGTGCACTGAGGCGATCGACACAAATCGCTACATATCGATACACAGCTGCATGCTAGCGACTGGGCACTGAAGCGTGCGCGCAGAGACAGGCGCTCTCCGAGGGTGTGAAAGTTTCCCTGCTCTGCGAGTCCTGACTCAACAGGTCAGGTGCGTGTCTGCGCCGTGCAGGAGCTGCAGCTCTCGGAGCCCGGGCGACGGTGACCACACGCTCATAAAAAGAAAGCGCAGATGATACCACAAAGCGACACTATTGCCAGTAAATCGTTTAAACCCTTGAAGGCGACACGATGAAACGCGATTAATTTTATGTCCGCTGAAAGTCAATGTCTGTTCTCATTAGAGAAAAAACTTAAATCCCGGCCACGTCGCTTTGTCGGTCAAGCTTGACCTCAGCTTTGGCAATAATAATAATAATAATGAGAAGAGCCCAGCCTGTAGTTGTATGACAAACCGACAGGGCGTGATGACAGTTCAATTTGCTCCCTTACGAATCTTTTCCATCCCCAAGACTCCCTGTCTCCCTGTCCTCCGAGTCTGGAGGATGTTCGCACCTTGTCTCCTTGGAGATCCGCGCTCTGAGGTTCGAGAGGTTCGACTCGACCCCCGGGATTCGGCTCGGTTCGGACACCCCTGAACCAGCCCGCGGACCACAGCCCCGCGCGAGCTCCGCGAGACCGGACACGCGGCAGCCCGTGACCCGCAGCCAGATGGGACAGGAGCGCGAGGCGTGCGGCTGAGCCGCGAGGCAACGCGGTGCTGCCGGGAACCCCGTCGGAAACGGGCAAAATGTCCGCTTCTGCGTGTTTAGGGCGGAAGGTGTTTTGGGCTGTACTAGGCGGGGAGCCGAGCCCCAATCTGCGCGCTCCGAGTGTCCCACCCCGACACGCTTACAGCGGGGTGCGACTCGCTTTCTGGCTCGCTACTCTGTCGGGAGGACAGTGAGGATGATGGTATTTTTTCATGAAGCGATAACTAAACTGCCGTTATTAACTTGTAGATTTTAACTTGAATTTGAGGTTCATCCGTGAATCTAATCGGTTAATCTGCGGTCGTGTAGACTGTCCACTCTGGGCTGCCCACGAGCTGCACCGCGGAGCGACACAGGCGGAAATACGACCACGCTCGAGGCGCGACAATTAAATATCAAACCCTCAAATTACGTGCGCGCTACAGACGTGCGCTGTATCTTCATTTTATACGAGAAAGCTGTTCGGGAAGGCAGCGGCGCGCTGGAGACCCGGGTTCGAGTCCGCCTCCGGTCTACAACGACTCGAGACCCGGGATGGATTCTAGTCTCAGATACTTATTTCACAGTGTGAGCGCCTCCAGGAAGCGAGACAGTTAAGCAACAAAAAGAAAACATTCCTACGTTTTGCATGGCCTGTATCTGTACATTCTCTCTATTCCCCAGGGAGTCTCAGTATGTGTCGGCCGGCGGCGTCACTGAGCGAGGCTCGGGCGCCCCCGTGTGTTTGAGGGCGGAACTGCAGCCGCCCTCCTCCCCCGGCAGCATGGACCCGGCGGAGGTGCAGCCGGACATGAACGAGGTCATCGTGCGGCACTACAACCACTCGGGCAAGTGGGGGCGCGGGCGGGGCGCGGGCGCCTGGAAGACGGCGCTGCTGCTGCTCTTCTGCCTCTGCATCGTGCTGGAGAACCTGCTGGTGCTGCTGGCCATCTGGAGGAACAGGAAGCTGCACAGCCGCACGTACTTCCTGATCGGGAACCTGGCGCTGTGCGACCTGCTGGCGGGCGTGGCCTACGTGGTCAACTTCTTCACCTCGGGCCAACGCACCTTCTTCCTGTCGCCCGGCCTGTGGCTGGCGCGCGAGGGCAGCATGTTCGTGGCCCTGAGCGCCTCCACCTTCAGCCTCCTGGCCATCGGCATCGAGCGCCACATGACCATGGTCAACCTCAGGCCCCACGACGCCTCCAAGCGCGGCCGGCTCCCGCTGCTGCTGGGCGCCTGCTGGGCGGTGGCGGTGCTGCTCGGCGCCCTGCCCAGCGCCGGCTGGAACTGCCTGGGCCGCCTGCCCGCCTGCTCCACCGTGCTGCCTCTGTACGCCCGGAGCTACGTGGCGTTCTGCATCAGCGTCTTCAGCGCGCTGCTCTGCGCCATCGTCATCCTCTACATCCGCATCTACCGGCTGGTCACCTCCAGCGGGCGGCGCCTGGGCGGCCGGGCCGGCCCGTCGGAGCACGCGCTGGCCCTGCTGCGCACCGTGGTCATCGTGCTGGGTGTGTTCGTGTGCTGCTGGGCGCCGCTCTTCGTGCTGCTCATGCTGGACGTGGCCTGCGGGCCCGCGCGCTGCCCGGTGCTGTACATGGAGCACTGGTTCATCGGGCTGGCGGTGCTCAACTCGGCCCTCAACCCACTCATCTACACCCTGTCCAGCCGCGAGATGCGGGGCGCCTTCTGCCGCCTGCTGTCCTGCGGCCCCACCTGCGGCCTGGGCCCCGAGGAGACCGCCAGGCCGGCCAACGGCACGCCGGCCCCCACCGTGGAGAACAGCCACAGCCGCTGCAGTGGGGCTGGGGGCGAGGCCGGGGGAGGAGAGGGGAGGGGCACACAGAAGAAGGCCCCGCCCCCAGGTCTGGACACGGCCCCGCCCCCCGGCATGCTGCTGTCAGCGGTGCTCGTCAAGGCCAGCGCACTCCCCCCAAACCTCGGCAAGCTCTGAGAGGGCGCCCCGAAAATGCCCCTCGGCTCCGGGAGCAAGCAACCTCAGCGAGCGCAGACAGAGCCCCACATTCGGGGTCCTACCGGGGTTCCTGAACCGAGACCGACCGGGCGGCCCAGCGTGCTCTTGCTCCCTGCCCCTACAGCACCGCGCCTCCCCGCACCGACACAGAGCGTCACAGGCGGGCCGGCAGGCAGCCTGGCGCCGCAGATCCGCTCTCCTGCAGACAGCCGGCGCTGTGCAAGACGAGACCCCTGACAGCACAGGGGCTCCTGCCTTTCCCTAGCAGCTGGACGAGGAGGCAGGAACTGCTGTGAATCCGACCAGAGCACTGAGCAGGAGCCCCAGGTAGAGACGGGAGGAGCCCCACTCAGCCCCAGTAGCTCACTGATCCCAGACTCTTCCTGAAGGATCTCGGGGAGTCTGCTGGTGTAGCACGACCAGGCAGTTTGCTCCAGGCACCCCCCAGTCTCTATGTAAAGATGTGCCTCGAGATCTTAATGTCCACTGTTATCCTCTTTCCTATCTGCCCCCCCTCCATTGCTGACAAAGTTTTAACGGCTCGGACTCATTAATAAATGTTTTTAAAATACGTTTTTAGAATGTTTGGTCTCAGAAATGTATATAAGCTGTACATACACTTGGAAGCTTTTCTGTTTGCATCTGTTTTGTAATGTATTTCTAAGAATTTTTTTTAGGTTTTATTTATTGCCCGAAGGATCACTACAGTCAGTATTCAGGTCTGGCCTGTAGGGGGCGCAGGGCAGTGCTGGAAATGGGAGATCCCAGCCTCCTGTGAATCATCCTGAATGAGATGCTATCCC